ATTCACCCATCACCCTACTTAGGTCAGGGGTAGTTGCAGCTTTTCCATTGTGCTGATAGAAGAGGTTGTAGTGGAGAACCCTGGATGCATCAGCTCCCCAAAGATATGTTCCCAATACTTCTTCTGTTTGCCTGATGAATAGGAGGTATTTGAGAAGCAAATCACTCAATGCAGAGTGAGGGAAGCGGGGGATAAGCTTTTCCTTTCCAGAGGCTGAGTTTGTCTATGAACAATTGATTGAGAAGGTGGGTGAAACACAGAGAAACAAGCATTCTATACCTTATTATAATTGAGGATAGTGGCAAGTCCACCTGACATGGCAAAGAGGCCTCTGTGTGTGTTCTGCATGTTACGAAACAACAAGCTGAGAATCTCTGTGCCTCTAGCAGGTTGTCCACATCCCAGGTGGAGTAGGAAGAGAATGCACTCATTGAGCTTTTGTGCCTTTTCCATCCATTGTTTCACCATCACCTTATTCCACTCTACTTGCCCCTCAACTATCCTCACAACATACTGGGGATTCTGGAGTAGGTGGGCAATGGAGTGAAAGCGGTAGGACTGAAGGATTGGGGTAGAGAGGAAAGAATAGGAAGGGATCTTATTCTCCAAGTCATCAACAATTGCAGAAAAAGGGAAATGGAGATTTGTATCAATGCCACTTGTGAGGTAACTGAAGAGTGACTTGGCCTTCTCCATGACTTGACAGTATGCTTTTGGAATGTCAGCCAGAGATACATACAGGCCCTTCACTCTGATTCCCTTGTGATCAGGGTCCCAGGTAGTTGAAGGTGGGTGCCTCTCATTAAGTGCCACACTACTGCAGTATTTGTTCATGGCTTGGATGGTGTCAAAGGGGGTTGGTTCACCTTCCTGGAGCCATTGATGACAAAATTCCTTACACACTCTAATGTGGAGATATCAGATGGGGTAGCAGAAGAATTGAGAAGGGACACACTCAAAGTCTGTATTTGTATCCTCATTAGCCTTCCTCCTGATCTCCTTCACAGCCACCAGGCGCATCATGCGTACCAACCCAGACATTTTGGAAGCAATATCACCACAGGAATGGAACCCTCCCCCATTGGGGTTAAGGTTTATCAGGATCAAACCCATTCGGATGGGATCCTTTGTGGCATTGTGAGTATCACCATCATCTTGAGGGAAGAAGAGGGATACAAGCAGAGAATGGATGAGATCATCCCACACATTATCTGAGCATGACTCAGGATTGTCAAGAGCATACTGGATTTTGGATGCACACAGCCTTTGATGGGGGGTGAATGTGACTAGAATGGGAGGTGTGTTAAGGGAAAGATAGCGAAGAACAAAACAGACTAGCTTCAACACAAAGGCTTGATTCCTTTGCATAGTTGTTTCATTCTGGGGGTATGCAAATGGCCTATGATTTATATCACTATATTGGGGGACTGTTAGATTAGATGACACAGAAAGGCAATGTAGACTTGCCCCTCAGGTGTATTGATCCATCTTAAAAGTAATGGGGCCATTTCCTCCACCACCTCCCTTATCCCATTAATGTAGGCTGTGAGCTTGTCCTTAAGTGGAAGAAGTGCTGAGTTCCTTTGGCTGGGAGTCTCCACCATTCCACACAACTCCTTATAGTTTTTCCCCTTTATAATCCTGAGCCATCCATACTCCCTCAAGAAGCCATTAACATGGACAGAATCACAAGGTGCTCGGATTGTTCCATCATCCCATCCAGACTCATCATGAGCCTTGATCATGTCCAATGCTGACCTATGCTCATAACCTGGGGCCAGCATGGAATAATTTGAATCCACTGCCCAGACTTGATACACTGGCCTAGCTGAGAAGATAAGCTGCACTTGGGCTTGTAGGGTGTTCTCCTGGGCCAAAAAACCTTTGTGCACTCGTCGAATATGTCGATGGATGGTTTCATGGGAGATAGAAGCATAGCCACACCCTGGGACACCACACATGAAGCCAGGCCTGATGGGAAGTGATGCAACTGGGATTGCTTTTGATGTGGGTGGCATAACATCTTGTGGGACTTGACATTTATTAAGAATTGTGTCCAAGTTGGTAGGGACTTGGGATCTACCACCATGAGACTGGGTGATGTGGTTCTCCAGAGACTGGCGTGGTACACCACATTGACATCCTTCACACACAATGAGACGATGTGTGGGATCAATCCCAATCTGCAGGGGACAGAGTTCCTCGATGAACATAAGCTGTTGTGGAGGAAAGTGAATTTCCTCTTGATGTGGGGAAGATGGTAGATAGTCAGGATCCTCATTGTCATCTTGATCCTCAGAATCCTCAGGTTGTGGCCTAACCTCAGGAATAGAGGGAGCTAAAGTTGCAGTAGGGGTACTGGAAATGGCCACAGCATGAGGGTTAGAAGAGGGCTCTCCTTGCAGAGGCCTGGTGGGGATGAGGTTGGACTCATTCCCTCCTTTTACATGCTTGTGACGACGAAAATTGGCAGGGTCATGGTCAAAATAGTGGCATCCAGGTGTAGGGCAGTGGAAACTGCCATCCTCCTGGCGAGTTAGTTGAATGTCACCGATAGTAAGCTTGGCTTGGTGCACAATTCGCACATGAGACCTTCTTGCATTATCATCAAGAAAGTCCTGGTCACACTGTCCACATTTGCTGAAGGGCAATTCAAAATCAGATGCCACCTGGTGATGCAATGAACCTTACATTTTATCTCCCTTAATGACCCTGGCAGTGGACTTGTTGAGTGCAGGCATTGCTGAAAAGAGCTAATGTTAAACTTGATGGGAGTGAAAGTGGCAAAGGCTGTAAGGGTGTAAGAGTAAGCTAAAAATTGCCAGCACAAGTAAAAGGAGCATATCATCCCTACCAAGTTTGTTGAGCTGCCTGGGTTGTGTGGTGGAAAGCAGTTGGTGAGTAAAAAGTGCGCAGTTGGTGATGATTTGCTTCCGACACCGGAATTCTCCCTTTCTTCCCACAGCGGCTGTGAGGGCAATTCCAGCTGGAATTGCGGTTGAGTGTTTCATTCCGACAGCGTTTGTTTGCTGTCCCAGTACAATACCAACATGTTGCAGCTTCAAAGTTTCAATCCCTTGTTCTGATTACTTCATTTCCGAATCATTGTTTCTTCCGACTTTTAATACATTTCCATTTTTTCCGCGCTTACAACGGACGCAACAGCGCGGTCAAAAAAAAAACACACACAAAACTAAGTGGCAGAATTGTCAATGGGCCGGCAACCCGAATAAAAAGTTGTTGTCCAAAAAGGGGTTGACATAGTAAGTGAAGATGGAGGACGATCGACTGGACATGTTGGCATGAGGAAGAGGGACAGGAAGTTAGGCAGCTGTCGTTATGTGGGTGAACGAATCCACGAAGCAGATTTTGTGACTGATGATGCGCGAAGGTTGGGCGATCGAACTGTAATACAAAGGGATTGGTGAGGACAGACTATCTGATAGTAGTGTCATTAGCTTGGCGGTTCATCGAATATGGATTAGGATAGGGAATCGGAAGGGCAAACCAAGAAGATCGTCGGACGGTGGGTAGACGTGTCGAATCAGGAGAGGAAGCGACGGTGTGAACGAAAGATCGTTATAAGCGTGTTAAGATAGCAGTTATGAGGGTTGAAGCAATGAACGCGATGAAAAATTAGGGCTGAGATCGCGTCATGAGGGTAAAGGCAAATAATCGTCGATAAGAGCAGCTCTGACTCATATTTTGATGTGACGTTCACAGGCCCGCCTGAGGGCGTCTCTGCTAAGTAACTGAAACGGTTGGCACCACATGAAATGTTCCTCGAAGTACCGGTGGGGGGGTTGCGAGATCTCGGAGGGGGACGAGTGCGTCAGTTCGCTGCCTGGAATTATCGGGCCCTGCGAATGGCGCATACAGGGCATGTGCCTAATTGCACGTCAGAGGCTACTTAGAGCGACCCATTCAGCCGAATGGGAGGTTCAGGACCGGGCTCTGAAGAGCCCGCCTCAATGCGCGCAGGGTGTTTACAGACGGCAGGCATGCCTTTGCGTCCATTCCCGGCCTGGTGGTGTGCGGATGAGTGCGTGGGTACTCGTCATTTGAACGTGGCGATCTGAGAGGGGATTTCTCTGGGTAATTAGGTAGCTCCAAGTGTCAGCCCTCTTAAATCATCCGTGAAATTCAAAGCGGAAAAATCATCGTGCCTTAGGCCCATCCAAATAATCGCTTATTACTTGGGAATAGGATGTCAGCGTTAGGAATGTGAGGTTGTAATAACTTCAAGTGAAATACCGGTACTTAACATGTGTAAGTTCGAGGTGAGCTTTCGAATTGCCCGATGAGTTGAAAGCAAACCTAAATCCACCCAAACATCAGCAAACTCCCGAAGTTGATTGAAATGATAGAAAGCAATTTAATCACTTCTATTTACATAATCATCATCTGTGTGATGAATCACCTCAAGCTATCATAAAAATTGTACTTTCCGTAATGGATATTCGATCATAGGTGATGGTGACCGTGCACGGGCCCTATTTTCAAGGGTCTGTCGTGATGACAAGTGTGCTTTTAGTGGTGCGACAGAGCGATTCGAAAGTATCCAGAAGTCCGCTTCAAGTCATTGTCATTCATATCGGAATAGGACTCCCCTTCTGGGTTGAGCGTGCACCAACTTGTTTCCATGTGTCAGGGACCCCTTAGGCTACATCATTTCCCTCATCGCGATGCACTGGTGCCGCGGTGCCTATTGCCAGTACACAATTCCGCATTGCGGACACGGCTTTCGTCCGCTGATAACTGAACGAGCTCTGATTCTCCAATCCGTACCGAGTGTTATAAGTGCCAATCGACACCCATTGCTCCTTCCAGCACTACTGCGTCACCGTCAAACCTCCGTCGCTCATTGACTTCCGCGCATATTCATCCTGATTGACAGGAATAGTTGTGGACGGCTCGAGGTTGTGATGGACTCCTCTCGCGACGTACCGACTGTTTGGCAGTGCTGGTCTTAAACGTCCCGCAGCGTGACATAGGAGGGATCATCCTCGAGCGGTCTTAGCGAGGGCGTCATGGGCAGTGCAATCGGGATGTGGAATGTTAGAATCCTTCTCCGACTTTCCTTCATCCGAATATCCATCAGAACTCAAGGCATGGCTCACAAACCGAGAGAGCGGCCGTTTGAAGCCGTCGTGGTCGTGGCCAATGAAGGTGATTTGCCGAAAGCAAAAAGAGTTTCCACAGCAAAGATGAACTGTTGGGGAAAATCGCGCTATCGTGATGAAGTCCGGGTACGAATCTTTATGCTAATGATAGGAGGGAAGTGTTAGAGTAAGGAAAAAGACAATCTCAAGGCTTACCTCAAGGTGGTGGCCAGGAATCTCAACATCGTCATACTTTAGATGCTGCAACTCAACGAGCCGAGAGGTCGGATCCACCGGAGGGCTTCGGGGTGGAATTCATAGCCGTCGCGCCAAATTTGTAAACGCTCGGCATTTGTTTGCTCTTAGTCAGGTCCTCCTCAAAAGATTGCTAGGCCCGAAGTTGTCGGCAAGCTAGTGGAAAGGGAACTTGATATATACCTTTGTTGCTAGGGGAAGACTGGCGACAAGCCAAACTATGTTTGTTCCGCAGACATCCGGAACAAATCCGTACGCTGGACTGATTGCTGGACATGTTCTTGAGTGAGACCACCGAGGCAAAAGAATAGAAATTACTTACGTAGACACCTTCACTCGACAATGCACTGATAAATCGATAGATCAGGAAACTCGGAGGGACCTCCTGGAGCCGACATATCCCACGGAGCTTGGGGAGCCCAAAAGGTCCTTACCCCCTCTCAAAGAACCAGGAGGCACGCTCTCTTGGGCCTCTTGAGCTCTGCGGCTCCTCTCCTTCTAACGGTGCAGCGCTGGCTCTCAGACTCCAGGATTCTCAGCGTTCTTGACTCTCGCGACTCATGTAATTAAAGGAAGAAAAATCGATTTTTATATAACTCAGACATATGATCCCTTTTGAGTTCTTGCCTATAGAGGTTGATGGAATATGAGTCAGTAGTTAGGTTAGTGAGTGTTGGCAATGTACACTACAGACCAAAACATGGCACAGCAAATATGCTTACATCGTCTTGTCTTTTTGATGAAAACTCGGCAATGTCGAATAGATGATGTTCATGTATTTCTGCAAAGCATTCAGCAGAAAATTCAACTGGATTAATAACACTCTCAAGTGCACAGTGAATCTAAACAAAGTGCATATCAGCAAACTGGTGTTATGAGTAAATGGATGAAGTACCACTGATAGGGCAAGGGCAATAAGCTTGCGATGTTCATTGAGGTTCTTGAAATCATCAAGACAAGTCTCCCCCAACTGATGAGAAATAAACTGCTGTTTGAAGGTGATGAACACCTTCAGCACAGTCAAAATGATCAGGTTTTCGAATGGACCATCTTTCTGTATGTAAGAAGTCAGTTAGCCATATTGACATTGGAGCAAAATCATAACTAAGCGGTGATTTTGCCAGATGTACCTGGACTTCTCCATTAGGTCTGTGACACTTTCGATGTGCTCTGAGTCATCCATCGCTGAAAAGTTATAGTATTCATTAACAGCTTGAACAGCAGCATTCCGGAATCTATTTCGGAAGTTGGACACAATTTTCACAAGGTGTATGAGGGGTTGAAACAGAGGATATTTACGACTTTATATACAACTAATTCAACATACTGTAGTAATCATCAGGGGCTCAACCATGAACTGGTCACTTTGCAGGTTCAGATTTTGGGCAGATCTTGCAAGAGCTTCTTGTGCAAAGCGTTGGTGAATCAACACATCTTCTGTTGGAAGTCAAGCTTGAATCTTGTATTTATGGTTATTTAGATCAGGTTAATAGACTGAGCGGTCTACTTCCATAATCTCCCCTTGCTGGCATAACCTTGTTTTCAACAGGTTATGAGCCCAGCCAGCTCATTGAAGTATCAGTGAAACTCCACTTGACCCTTGCGGCACCTTAGCTGATTTCTAATTGGCTATCCGGAAGTCCTCTGGCTGAGGCACCTCTCACATCCATGAAGTAGGCAACCCCATTAGAGCCCTCAGATGAGGCACACCCCCTATGAGAGCCCTCAGATGAGGCACACACACAATTGAGAGTCCTTGGATGAGGCAGGTACCCAGAAAGCCCTCGGACGAGGCATGCAACATTCTTAGGGTCCTTGGATTAGGAACCCATCCCCCAAGCCCTCAGTGGAGGCACTTTCACTGTCACTGTCACTGTCACCATCACTATCGCTATCACTGTTGCCATTGGTTTTTTCCCAATATTGTCAGATCTTCCCCGGATCAGAGGGTGATATCTGCTTGCTCACATATAATAGTCCCTTTCACTGCTACCCATCATTCCCCCTTCCCTCACCTTGCCTACAGTTACATTTGACAAAGTTGATGATATAATAACTACCCCGGTTGGGCCATGTACATGGAGGCCCACTTGACCAAGCAAGATTTGTGGGATATCGTATCTGGGCACAGTCAGAAGCCAACTGGTAGTCCAAATTCGAGGACTGTTCTGGCTTGGGAGAAGAAGCACCACTTAGCTGTGGCAGAAATCCTTCTAAATGTGTCCACCAAATATATGGTGCACTGTGATAATGTGGACACACCAGGGACGTGGAACAAGCTCAAGTTAATGTTCCAGTCTGAAGGCCGTAGCATTATCTCTTCTCTCCATTGTCAATTTAACTCTATGATATACAAACCCGATTTGACAATGTGCCAATGGATCACAAAGGTCAAAGATTTGGCCCGATGTTTAGCAACAATTGGTTCACCCATGATCCCTGTCAATGTCATCAATACCCTGACCCGTCAACTCCCTGAGGCTTATGCCCCACTCATTGTTCATTTTGACACTGAACTTCAAGGCTCTGGTCCAACATCAAATTCCGATCCCGTTCAATATGTCATCATGTGACTCCTGAATGAGGAAACCAGACAGACAGAATATCAGACATGGGATGGGCCAGCTGCATTTGTTGCTTGCACAAAGGAACCACAGAAGGGTGCTGCAAACTGTTTCAACTGTGGCAAGCCAGGTCATTTCAAGATGGATTGTAACCTGAGCCCCCATGAAGTTTGTCTCCAAGGTGAGTGCTAGAACAGGCCAATTGGGCAGCTGGAGAGGAAGCAGCTTTGGCTGGTAATTCAGAACCCAAGTCGAGTTCAAAGGTTGAAATGCTCTAATTGTTTTTCCACTTCATTTTGTCATTGTTACATGTTTCTTCGCTTGAGAGGGTGTGTTGGAAGTCAAGCTCAAATCTCGTATTTACAGTTATTTACATCAGGTTAATAGACTGAGCGGTCTACTTCCATAATCTCCCCTCGCTGGCATAACCTTGTTTTCAACATCTTCACTATGTGCTCCATTCAGGCTATTCTCCCCAAGAGTCCAGGTGTTAGAACTGGGCAAGGGCAGACGATTCCAGAGGGGAACCGGAGACTTAGCAAGGAGGGACCTTGGCCTCAGCGACTCAAGCGGAGCGCTGTGCCATTGCTGTTTGTCCATTTGGTCCTTAATTTCATAGGTGGCAAGCAGGAAGTCTCTAGGGGGCATTTCAGGTCGATTTTAGATTAAGGGCCTAAAACAACTATGTACAAGCGCTGGTATATAATGGAGAGGGCGAAAGCACAAGGGAAACAAAGGGGGTCTGAATCGGAATGAAGGTGTCCGAACGGGAACAAAGGGATGATGGAAGCAGAGCAGTACCGAAGGTCATAGGTCAGAACCTGTGGTACATCCAAAAGGAGATAGGGAGGGCGAAGCCCAGAGGGGCAGGAGGATGAGGGGAAGTGGGGATGATGACTAACTGGCTAGAATGGAGAGAAGCAGCAGTCCAAATAAGGATGAGGGGGAAACATGAAAGATACATTACAGACAGTGAAAGTGCTGAGTATGATCCCTGGAGCTTGGGGGTTATGGAGCTTGTAGAGGTTATGGAGGCAGGGTTGAAAGTCCGAGGAATATTGGCAATGGTGTTTACATAGTATGAGGTCACCAATGCAATGGACTTAAGCTGAGGTGGAGTCAAAGTCCGAGGTTGGAACTATGATGGAATCTCGGAGTGAAGGTACAAGCAGTGTCCGAGTACAGGGTACAGGACAGTGGTGGAAGGTCGTAACTTGGCGGAGGTTCAGCAGGAGAGGGTCAGAGGGAAGAGAGAGAAGAGAGGAGCAGGGTGAGGAGTGGAGGAGAGGAAAGGTGTCAGGTCCGAAGGTGAGTATCGGAGCAGACGGGAGAGGGGTAGGAGAGTGACGGAAGGGTGGAGGTGTTGTGAGGAGTAGGCCAAAACCATTCTTTTTGGCGTCATTACCACTTGTGATACCCAGGGACACGATGCTACACTAGAGCTGACCTATTTTAGAAGTTTGACATCATACATTGAAATCGTGAACTTGGCTGCAAGCAGAGGAGTAGGAGGAGGGTGGCAAGAGGAGTGGTGTTCGGTCCGAGGTGAGTATCGGAGCGGACGAGGATAAGGTAGGAGAAGGACAGAAGGGTGGAGGTGGCATAAGGGGTGAGGGGAGGTGTGGTGTCAGGTCTGAAGGTGAATATCGGAATGGACAGCGGTAGGGTAGGACTCTGGAGGTGGCGAAGATGGGGGTTCCGGGAGTTGGTTTGGGATCAGGTATGTATGGATATGACACCAGGGATTCAAGCTGAAGGAACACTGGGCATGAATAATTGAGGACTGTATCAGGGCACACACCCTGACTAGCTGTCAGAGACCAGATTTAAGACGAAGGAATGTCTCCGTAACGGAGGGCTTTGGCCTCAGCGACTTCTGCCAGGAGCGCTGTGCCTAGTGACACGTCCGTGCCCTAACTTACGGACTGGCGCTTAGAACCTAGTGGGGGTAACTCTAGTTGATTTATCTGCTGGGGCGTAACCTATGTACAAGTAGTGTATATATATGGTTACAGCGGAGATGGTTCCGCAATTGGCGGAGCCGGACGGAGCGGAGCTAACGGGGTTAAGACATTAGCCGACTGAATATTACCGACGAGTCGGTTCGCAGGGTTAGCGGAAAGGCAGGCGTTAACCCAGAAACGGAAAGGAGGGATAGGCCCGAAGGTGGACTCTGCAGGGCAGGCGAGTGTATTGCCCAGCGGAGGTGGGAGTGCGCTAGCGGACGTCGGAGCTGTCCGGAAGTCTTCAGGGCTCCGTACTTAGGGAGGCGTAGGTAATAAATTGAAATGAGGGGGTGGTGACCATCGAGGGGTACCGAGAGGTTTGCGGAATACGGGGGCTCCGAGGTTGGTGAGGGGGGAGCGGAGTTAGAACAGAGGGGTCGGAGAGCCCGGAAGTCGATGGCCGGGAATGGATATGACACTAGCCTGGACCTGGACCCGCATGCATGCTCTGCCCCGCATGCTCTGTGCGCTGCATGCTGCATGCGCCGCATACTCTGGGCCCGGTTCCCACTTCTCATGTGACTTCTGGGTATCCCTGGAAGTTTTCGCCATATTGGGCCACTGTGGGAAAGTGAGAAGTTAACCTTCTTCTCACTTTCTTACCCACAGTAGGCAAGTGTATCTTACTTGCCTTCTATCTTATACCACTTCCTCACCCACAGCAGTTATGCCCTGAGATGGGCTGTGTTTACAGGGTAGGCTGTGGGCCATAGAGAGGGGTCATGGGGACCTGGGGTCTGTCCCCTGACAGCAGAAGAAGGTTTCAACCTTCGCCCCTGCCCACCTAGGATGTCCCACATGGGCTGCCAGAGCCTGGACTGAGTTGGAGCTGGGCATGGGCCGAGCCTGCGATTTTTGAGTGGCAGCTGTGCCACATCATCATTTCCCCCGGACCATTACACACTCATTACCTGTGACACAACCACACCCACATTCCCTATCCTGGGCCCTTGCAACGCTGTCCCACAGATTGTGCTCCGATCTGTGAGGTTGAGTTGAGGGTCATTGTAAGGGATTAACCTTACTTCACTATAATTCTGATTATAGTGATATTTATATTATGTTGCATCGCTATAATTCCCATTATAGTGATGTGGTTATTTCTTTATTTATTTGTGCCGAGATATGTAATTTACATATATATACCTCAGAGTAGTTGTAAAGGCCCAGTAGCCTTTACCTCTACCCCGTTGAATATACAGCTCATCAAGCTTATGTTTAGACAGACCTACTGAGGCCTGAGGCGAATGGGGGAACAGAACGTTACTGTCCCCAAAATAGTAAGCAACCTTTCAGTCATCCCACTGCTACCTGAACACCTCACTGAATGCACTAAGGAGACATAGCTGCCCAACTGCTGCCAAGGTACTGGCTGAAAGGCACTCTGGACACAGGGTCACCCACCCACTGCCAGCTTCGTAACCGCAGATGCAAGAACGATGACCTGCTAGAGACCACCCACCTGGCCCCCCAAGTTCCCTCACTGCTACCTGGACACCTGGCTGAATGCATGCAGGGACAAGGTTGCCCTATTGCTATAACTGCGCTGACGAACTGGCCAAGGAGCATAGGGAACAAGGTTGCCTGAATGTGGCCAACCATGTAGCCACAGATGCCCAAGATAACCTGGATGAGACCACCTGCTCCCACTTTCACCTGTGACTGAGTCACGGGCACATGCAAGCGCCTTTTTGGATTCACAATGGAGGATGAGCATGAGAGGGAATGGATGCCGCTGGAGAGGGTGCCCAGGATCCCTACTATGGCTGCTTAGGCATGCAGCATAGAGGGAGGGTTGTGTATCCCAGCCACATCACAGACCTGCTATGGCTCACGGACCCGACTCCCTGCAGTGCTGGGCACACAGGAGAGAGTTTAACATTTGGATTTCGATGGAGGATGGATATGAGAGGTGATGGATAAGAGCTGACCAAGGAGCCCAAGGTCCCCTGCTGTGGCCACTTAGGCATGTGGCACAGAGGGAGGGTGGCACTCAGCCCGCATCATAGCAACCCTGCTGTCCATGCACCCGGACTCCCCAAGGTGCAAGATGCACTTGGAGGAGAGTTGTTTTTTAAACATGACCCCACATGGCCCGGTCCTAGGCCTGACTAACATTACTGCATACCCGCTACCCACCCCGAAATTTTTTTCCTTTCCACATCTTCCCCATCTACCCCTGAAGAGGGGCCCAGCATCCTAGGCAACAGACCACCACACACAGAGGAGGGAGGAGGGGGAGTTTTTTGAGGTTTAGCCACTTTGGGGCGAAGTGGCATTAGAGGGAGGGTGGGGAGTGGGGTGTAGACCCTGCTGGATCCCCTGGGACTCTCCCACTATCGCTGCTACCTTGGCACTACCACACCCCCAACCCCACATACCGGGAGGAGTGCAGCCCAGAGGTCAGAGTGCAGGCATGCAGACAATGGCCCAGAGGTCAAGTGCTGCACCACCACCCTCCATACCCGAAGTGGGCACAGCCCTGAGGCTGGATGCGATCATGGAGACGACATGACTGCAGCCAGGGGGCATCGTGGGATGACTGTCATATCCATACCAACTCTGCCTCACCTCCGCTCCACTCTGCCACCACTCCGGTCCACCTCCGGTCCATCCTCCCCTTGCACCTCCACTATACCCTCCAGTTCACCTCTGGTTCACCTCTGCCTCTGATCTCTGGTACCTTCTCTGGTACCTCTTATCCTCATCCTACATGTTTATTAATATTTCTATCTACCCAATATTACTACGGACCTCCTAGGGCCTCCACCCACTCCACAAAGGTTTTCCCACTCTCTAGTAGCTGTTGCTAATTCCACCCTTCACCTACCCACTCCACAATGCTCGATAAGGCGATTCTCTCACAAGCTCACTGACCTGGCAAGTGTCATATCCATACAATCCCGACCTCCGCTCTGGGCTCCCGGAACTCCGAACTCCGACTTCCGGAGCCCTACTTCCCTTCCGTCACCTTCTCCTTGCCGACTCCCAAGAGGTTATCCCACCTCCGGCTCGGACACCACCTTCGGTCCGACTCCGGAACATTCCGGGTCCGACCCCAACCTCGACACCTTCCAGACGAGTATGCAAAACCTATGCTCCCGACTCCGGACCTCCGCTCTGGTATCCCGTTCACGTCTCGTCTCCGGAACCTCCGGTCTTAGTTCCGACCTCGGACTTTGACCCCACCTCCGCTTATACCCATTGTATTGGTTAGCTCATTCCATTTAATTACCTTTGCCAATATTCCGGAGTTTAACCTCCGAGTTCGGACTTTCCGGACTTACTCCGGACCTTGCAACTATTGCATTGTCCATTTCAATTCCGCTATTCTCCCTCATTCCTATTTGGGCTGCTGCTTCCTTTCTATTCAGTCAGCTAGCCATTCCCGACTCCCATCCTCCTTCCTTCCTTCTTGGGTCTTGGCCCTTCATTCCTCCTTTGGGAAACACCATTGAGTCAAACACTTGACCCTCGGTGTTGTTCCTCTTTCCATCTCCCTTTGTCTTCTTTTGTCCTACCCTTGTTCCTTTTGATTCCGGACCCCTCCTTATATACAATGTACCTAGTAACTTGTAACCTCAGTCCGAAATCGACTTGAATTCCCCCAAGAGACTTTCCCTCTGCTAGATCCGAAATTAGGGACCCCCAGGACAACCAGCAATGGCACAGCGCTCCACCTGAGTCGCTGAGGCCGAGGTCCTTCCATGCTAAGTCTCCGATTCCATTCCGGAGTCGTCCGAGTCCACCGATTCTAACAGCAAGTGGGTAAGTCCCCCTTGGGTTTTCCCCTTTGTTCCCATTTGTCTTCTATTATGTATATAAGTCCTGTACTGTAGTTGATGGCACCTCAGTGCAAAATCGACGACTGGACTCCCCCCAGAGTTCGTGCCCTCTTGTTCTGAAGTTAAGGACCAGACTCCTAAAGTGTTACCAAACGTAGGCACAGCACTCCTCTCTGAGTCGCTGAGGCCATGGTCCTTCCGCCTGTTCTCTACCTCCAGCCTCCTTCCAGGGAAAGGTCCAGGAACACTGCCCTCCTCACCATGTATCTGACAGTATTTTGCATTGATTACATTCTTTTAAAACACTGACTATGTCTAGAGTAATTCGTACATGTTCACAGACTTGTGGCTTGGTTATAGATGCGACGCTGAGAGCAGGCACCAGTTTTGTTCGTCCTGTTTCAAATAGACGTGCTGGAGCTGAGTCTCCTAGTCTTACTTCTCGAACTGTTCCATCTACCACTAGCTCATGATCCTCATCCGAAAGACGTTCACGTTCATGTTCCTTACGTTCATGACCTAGACATTCACGTTCCTGCTCTCGAGTTACAAATCATTCTTTTATAGGTTCCAATTTTGATCATGTTGTTGCCAGTAGCATGCACAACTCAGCCGTTTTTGTTGAGGCTGTTAATGAAGATGGGCTGGTTCCTCATGAACCCGTTCCTCTTGTTGACCTCAACCTCCCTATCCCACCAATTCCTAATCTTGTTGGAGACGACGATGAAGTTGAGCAAGTCCCTGTTCCGGTACTCACCCAGTTAGCACAGGCGATAACCAGCCTTGCTCGCTCCACCGCCCATCCCACTCCAATCCCTGCTCCCAGAAACGCTCTTGTACAATGTCCGAGAACCCAACCAGTTTGATGTGGTTGATCCTTGCAAACTCCACACCTTCTTGGTCCAGTGTGAGTTGAACTTTCAGGACTGCCCCCTGGCTTTTGTGAGTGACCGGTTGAAGATTATCTACACGCAGTCATTCCTGATGGGGATGGCACTTGATCGCTTCAAACCAGATCTTCTGGAAGGGCTGCCTGAGGGCGCTTGACCTTTGTGGATGGATAATTTTCAGGAATTCATTTTAGAGCTTAAGGAGAACTTCAGTCCCCATGATCCAATGGGCGATGCTGAAGACGAGATCCTCCAGTTGAGTATGAAAGACATCACATCAATAGGTACTGTTAGAACGTGGCGGATTCGGATGACTCCAGAATGGAATCGGAGACTTAGCGTGGAAGGACCTCGGCCTCAGCGACTCAGGCAGAGCGCTGTGCCATTGCTGGTTGTCCTAGGGGTCCCTAATTTCGGATCTAGCAGAGGGAAAGTCTCTTGGGGGAATTCATGTCGATTTCGGACTGAGGTTACAAGTTACTAGGTACATTGTATATAAAGAGGGGTCCGGAATCAAAAGGAACAAGGGTAGGACAAAAGGAGACAAAGGGAGATGGAAAGAGGAACAACACCGAGGGTCAAGATGGTGTTTCCCAAAGGAGGAGTGAAGGGCCAAGGCCCAAGGAGGAAGGAAAGAGGTTGGGAGTGGGGAATGGCTAGCTGACTGAATAGAAAGGAAGCAGCAGCCCAAATAGGAATGAGGGAGAATAGCGGGATTGAATGGAGCAATGCAATAGTTGCAAGGTCCAACATAAGTCCGGAAAGTCCGAACTCGGAAGTTAAACTCCGGAATATTGGCAAACATAATTAAATGGAATGAGCTAACCAATACAATGGGTATAAGCGGAGGTGGGGTCAAAGTCCGAGGTCGGAACTAAGACCGGAGGTTCCGGAGACAGAGACGTGAATGGGATTTCAGAGCGGAGGCCCGGAGTCGGGAGCATAGGTTTTGCATACTCGTCTGGAAGGTGTCGAGGTTGGGGTCGGACCCGGAATGTTCCGGAGTCGGACCGAAGGTGGTGTCCGAGCTGGAGGTGGGATAACCTCTTGGGAGTCGGCAAGGAGAAGGTGACGGAAGGGAAGTAGGGCTCCAGAAGTCGGAGTTCGGAGTTCCAGGAGCCCGGAGCGGAGGTCAGGATTGTATGGATATGACAGGTACATTGTCGAGTTTAATCGATATGCTATGCAGTTGCATGGTTATGGTGAGCCTGCACTTCGTTGGTTCTTTTACGACAGACTGCCAGAGCGTCTCAAGGACGATTTCTCACATGTTGCTGAGCCTACTTCACTTTCTGCCCTCTGAAACCTCGTGCAGACATTTGACCCGCGATATTGGACATGTAAGGCTGAAGCTGGACGACATGTTAGACCTCTGCCCTCCTTTGCCACTACCTTTGACAAGGCTGCTGCCTCCCAAACAGCAAGTACTTCCTTCCACCCTTCTTCTACTCCTTCTCCACTGTGGTTGCGAAGCCTCCTAAAGACCAAAGTCTGAAGGATGCCCCACAGCCAAACCGGACCTCTCTTCAAAACTCGGTGAAAATGGCAAGCTAATGCCAGAAGAGCGTAAGTGCCATTTTGATGGGAATTGTCAGAGACCAGATCGAGATGAAGGAATGTCTCCATGGTGGAGGGCTTCGGCCTCAGCGACTTATGCCAAACTGGCAACCAGAACTAAAGGGGGTAAACTCTAGTCGATTTTATTACTTGTCAAAAACCCGTTCGGTTATGGAAGAGGGGGTAAATGCGTGAGTCCGAATGCAGGTGGGGCTCAACTAGAGGGGGGTCCAAGGACTCCGGTAGTGAACCGAAGCTTCTCAGGGAGCCCGGTTCTGCTGGATGGTACAAGAGGCTCTAAGAAGGACGCAGCCTCAGCGACTCGGAGGGAGCGCTGTGCCTCCGTTACGTCTCAGTTAGTCCTTGTATTTCTTATGTCTGAGGTGTCTTGTAGAACAGGGACAGGATTCACTCAGAGGGACTTTGGGTGGCATTTTTAGTCGAGATTAGAACTGAGGAACTACAGGTTCTAATCTACGTGTATTTATTGAAGGAGGATGGGGAGGACTTTAGTCAAAGCCCGAAATGACAAAATGGGGATAAACACCGAAAGGTACCGAATGATACCGAGAGGTACCGAAAGGGTCCGAACGATATCTAAAACGGGGAACCGAGGTGTCAGGCCAAGGAGGGCGGAGTTGGAGGCCGGAAAATGAATGGGGAAGACAAATGGATAAAGGGGGTTAGCCGACTGAATGGTAGTAAGAAGGTAGTCATGCTAAGAATGGGAGATGACTAATAAGTGATAACGTGAGGGAGATCACCGAAGGATGTGGGTAGCTCCGAAAGCGGAGTTGCGTATCCGAAGGATGTTGGGTGACTCAAATAAATGAAATGGGTGGAGGAAGGGTTTAAGGGCATGTCACGGGATGTCGGAGGTCCGTCAGGATATCGGAGCAAATCTGGGATCTCCAAATGTTCCGACTCGGGACCGAGGTTCCGGGATGGGAGTGGCCAAGGTTCAGTGTGCCGCAACCAGACCGGAGCTGAGAAAGTCAGGAGGGAAGGTGACTTGGAGAGTGGGGAGGCAAGGTGTAGGGGATGGTGAAGTTGTTAGGAAGGTGTGATGTGGTGGGAGTGCGCAGGGTCGGGATTCCGGGATATGACATTACTGAGGTGTAACCTATGTACAAGTTGAGTATATATAGTTACAACGAGGGTGGGCCTGTAAATGGTGGGGCCGAGTGGAGTGGAGCTAATGGAGTTAAACATTAGCCGATTGAATATTACCGACAAGTTGGGTTACGGGGTTAGCGGATTGGTAGGCAATAACCCAGAAATGGAAAGGAGGGATAGGCCCAAAGGTGGGCTTGCAGGGCGCCCAGTGGAGGCGGGAGTGTGCTAGCGGACATTGGAGCTGTCCGGAAGCCTTTGGGGCTCTGTACTTAGGGAGGCATAGGTAATAAATTGAAAAGAGGGGGTGGTGACCATCGAGGGATACCAAGAATACGGGAGCTCTGAGGTTAGTGAAGAAGGAGCGGAGGTAGTCCAGAGAGATCGGAGGTAGTGGAAGTTGATGGCTGTGGATGGATATGACAGGAATCTCTGTATGTTTTGTGGCTTGTCTGGCCATATGGTCAAGGACTGCCCGAAATCATCCTCTCGTGCTTCCAAGGCACGAATTGCCCAAACTGTGCACTCTATGGCTCCTCCTGTAGAGCCACAAAATTAGTTCGCGACTCTGTGGACTCAGCATGAACCTGGGGTTACATTACTCCCTCACATGCTATCAAAGAGGTTTGCTTAAGTGCCGCCTCAATTTCCAAAACATCCACCCTCATCATTCCCGTTTCTTTTGCTCCTTTCTCTTCTTCTCTTGTCTGAAAATGGTCTATTTTCTCCTCCTCCTTCTCTCCCTTCTGTTGTTGATTCAGGAAAACTGTTTTCTCCAAATTGTCTACCTCCTTCATCTTCTGTTGCTCCAATTCCCCTGTCCTCACTTCCTCTTTCTCCTTTGCCTGTTACTTCTGTTCTCCCCAATAATAAAAACACCCCCAATGAGCAATACCAAGCTCTCGTTGATTCAGGATCGTCAGATTGTTTCATTGACAAAAAGTTCATGACTAAGAACAACCTGTCGACCTATCCGGTTTTACCATTGTCTCTTGTCAGGGCACACACCCTGACTAGCCCGGAGCCGGAGCCGGACCTGGACCCGCATGTGCACCTCTGCCCTGCATGCTCCACACGCCGCATGCTCTGGGCCCGGTTCCTACCCTTCATGTGACTTCCGGGTATCCCCGGAAGTTTTCACCATATTGGGGCCACTGTGGGAAAGTGAGAAGTTAACCTTCTTCTCACTTTCTTACCCACAGTGTTACAGATACGGAGTCTCCAACGACCATATCCGTCGCATGGTCACGGACTTCTCCTCCCTATCGCTCCCCCTCTTTCTCTCTTTCATCCTCTATCCCGATACCCTACCCTCCTTATTCGTTCTACCCTTTCCTCCCCCCCTCATGCAAAGCTTTCCCCATTGGGGTTTTGGTGCTGGCCGAGGTTACTTGTGTTTCGCGGGATTTCCCATGACCTTACCATTTGTAGATAGTCACGCGTCTTGTATGGAAACCGCCGAAGGCGGTTCCCGCTAACTAACAACTGCTCTACAACTGTCTTGTGTGTCATCTTCTGTAACAACCCTCCCTGTGACTCAACTGAACCTGTGTGATTGTACAACTCTCAACATGTCTTATATGTCTGGTTATATCGAGTCCTCTAACAGCCCTCGCCATGAGAACTCGAGGTCGTGAGTCGAAGACTCTCGACATGTATTTCGTCCTATGGAATCTGTACCCTATGGGTCCTCATCACTCCGCTCTCCCCCCAGTACTCGACACACGACGTCACTTCACGATCATAGAGATCATGAACAATCTGAGGCCCACTTTCCCATGATGCTGGCACGTTCGCTATGCGAACGCCAAGTAGCCGCCCATCCACCGTCTGTTTCTTCCTTCGTCAGTCGTCATGTTTCCCGCCAACGGTACATTCCCTTTGGGAACACCAAGTCACCAAAGGCCCTGTTAGTCAATCCTCATTGCATGCTTATGATATCAACCCGCTACCGGTACGTTCGCACTGCGAATGCCAAGTACCCGATGGCAGCTATACAAAGTTCTCACCCATCTCACAAGTCACGACCTCGCACACGGTACGCTCCATTGAGGAGCGCCAAGTACCCGTGGCTGACCCATCCATCCTGACATCTCCAACTACCTACCATCAATCCCTTAATAGCTCACTACATCACCAATCGCGATCGATGGGAATTCGATCGTCCCCTCCCAGACAAGACTGGGACCACTCATCGATTACTTATCCCATTATGGTACAGACTAGACATGACCTTTGTCTTCCCACTATAAGAATGGATCAAGGAATGGGGAATTTCCCCCATCCCCGTAACATTGGTGCCCCAACCCCGGTGCAAGAAACTCGCACCATGCCACCAAAGACGGTATCCCTGTTGGGAGACAAACCAGTCACCCCGGTCCAAGTGACGCATGAATTGTATCCTCCTTCCTGCCCCATGAGGATCAGTCAGTCGGACTGTAGATCCAACTCGAGAGATACCTTGCCAGTAGGCGAAGATGTGCATTC